TAATGATGTTATTATCTATTCTTGAAACTCTGCTTTCAGCTAAGATATCGATGTAAACCTCACAAGCTGCATGGAGTAATAATCTGAGACATCGTTATGTCTCAAGTTCAGATTTTTTTAAAGATAAATACCACCAATTATTGTCTGTCAAATAAACCCGGATATGGTGGATTTGGCTCAGTTTACAAGTTCAAAGAACTTTTATCCTCTTTGCTCTTTTGTATTCTTTCATTTCTGTCCTCGAGGTGACTTTTTGCAATCTGTTTCATGGAAAATTGCAAGATGGGAAATAAATTGCTATAAACTGCTTTCTAGCTCTTCGCGGCAGGGCAAAGAGAATTTCATGAATGAAATAGTGCTCACCTCAAAACTCTAACACAAAAACTTTGTCCGACTTCTAGGATGTTGCATCAGGGGAACCTGTCAATACAACCCATTTGTTGAGTGATCGTTTGTTCCTTGTGCTTGAACTTGAACTCCAAGAGAGGGTGAAACTCTTACAAGGCCCCATAACCTTGCTGCACAACTCCTTCTAATTTATTTTCATCGTGATATGTGTTTCAGGCTGCAATCACGACTCTTCAACTTAAATCCATAGAATTGCATCAACAATATATGTTTTATTTGCATATAGGGGTATGATAATTAAATTGAGCACAAGCTTTTATATATAGTGCGGTGAAATCATAACAAATCTTGAAAATTAATTAAGAGCACGATACTATGGTGTGCCAAAGGAAAATTTAAAACATCAAAGAAGACAAAGACGATAAAGAAGAAGTATGGGTTAAAGACGATGGAAGATACGGAGAAAAAGATGAAAAGGAAATAAATAGTGGGATAAGAGGAAGATGTTGAACAAAGAAGAATGAAATGAAACATTTGGAAAAGAAAAATTATAGAATCAGAAGAAGAATTCAGAGAAAAAAACAATAACATAGAATACTAAGAGGAAGAATGAATATACGTAGAACAAAAAAAAAAAAAAATAAAGAAGAAAAATAAAAAAAATGCAAGATCAAGAAGACAAAGGTAAAAAAAGGTGAAGATGGAAAAGAGACGAAGATAAATCAGTTGAATAAGAAGTACGAGAAGTACGAGAAGATGAAGATGATTAAAGGAACAAATATAAGATGAAGAAAATGAAGAATAAAAAAACCAAAAGAGGCTAAGAAAACCGAAGATGACAAAGAAGAAAAATGCGAAGAATTAGGAGAAGGAAGAAGAAGAGGGAAAACAAAAACTGGAAGAAAAAAAAAGAAGAAGTTGAAGAATACGAAGATTCTGAAAAAAGAAGAAGCCAAAACGATAAAAAATAAAGAAAATATGAGAGCTAAGATAAAGTAAAATATAAAAAAAAAGGAAAAAGAGGAAGAAGAAAACTAAACCTCTTTATTATGAAATTTTTATTCATGAAGGAGAAGAAGAAAAACATGCTGGTGATTTTCGAGGAAGATTTAAATTAGGAATCTAAAGAGAGAGAGAGCCTTTATCTTTTATAGTTGGGAGGATTACTACACTAACCTTAGAAAGTATCTATATTACTTGTTCGACGCACTTTTATTTTTTTTACAAAACTAACATAGCATACCCAAAACACACTTTTCGCCTTTGTTGAAAAAAACTTTATTACGAAAATGCTATTACCTTTTTAATGCCACGTAGGCAGATTTATGCGCTCAAAAATTAATAAGTCTACCAAGCAATGGCGGTAGACTTATGAAAATTTGGTCAATGCAGAAATTTTGTTGGTAGAGTTATTAGGGCGATGGTAGATTTATTCAAGAGTTGGTAGAGTTTTTAACTGTTGGTAGACTTTTTTTGGTAGAGTTTTGACGATGAGAGGTAGATTTATTATGTTTCGGTAGATTTGTTGTTATGAATGGCAGACTTGTCAAAAGTTTTGGTAGACTTGTTAAAAAAAGCGTTGACTTTCTCGCATAGTTGACTTTTTTGGTAGATTTATTGGCAATGAAGTAGATTTATTTTCTGAGTTGGTAGACTTATTTCCTTTAGCGGTAGATTTATGTGAAAAAAGTTGTCAATACGTGCGGTAGATATATCTGTTTAATGGTAGAGTTATATATAGTTGGTAGAGTTTTCGCTATTGTAGTAGATTTGTTTGACTTGTGGTAGACTTATTTCACTTAAAATTCATTCCGGTGAGTGGTAGATTATATGTTACATGAGGTAGACTTAAAAACTGTTGGTAGATTTATTTGTTTTGTGGTAGATATGTTTGTTTTGTGGTAGACTTATATTTTAAATAAATTTCATTCTGATTTGTGGTAGATTAATAATGACATGCTTGATAGATTTGTTTGTATGTTTAGTAGAGTTTACGTAATCTGGTAGACTTATCGACCGTATGGTAGACTTCTTGAAATAATAATGTGGTAGATTAATTAAGTTTGGTATTTACAGATATAACCTTGATCTGGTAGACATATGACATGCTTATGGTAGACTTGTTTATATGGTAGAGTTATTTTTCATGCTTGAGGTAGACTTAGTTGTTAATGTTTGGCAGACATTTGACTTTTTGGATTGAAATTACTTTTTTGTCCTAAATATATTCTCCTATCTACGAAAAAACCAGCGGTTTGGTAGACTTGTTTTGGAATGTTGTATGTTAAACAGGTTTCGTACATATGGTAGACTTGTTCCATGGTTATATTTGACTTGGTTTTGTTACCATTGACGTTTTCTTTGCATGAGTTTGCTAAGATTATGTTGGTTAACTGTGATTCGATCACAGATGAGTATTGTTCTTTACGATATAGATGCCATAATCAATTATCAAAAATTTCTAACATGAATATTTTTCTATTATATATCTTTTCTCTATGATAACTTTGCTTTTCATATTAACTTTGAACATATATGTCATATTTGTAACAACCATCTCTTAACTTATGATCTTTTGATTTTTATTTTTGAATATTTGTTACATTTAACTCTATTTACATGAACTTTTACAACATCACAATGTCAAATGATTTCAGTTATGATATACATCATAATGAAAGTAAAGAAATAAATTAAATTGAATAATAACATTACTAGCAAATGTGATAAAAATGTGAAATGTCTGGATCAATGTTTTACGACAAATATAATTTGAAAACAAAAATATTATCATTCAAAATCTAATTATCATTTTTACAAATTCAAATATAGATATAACATCAATTTAATAATAAATCTACCATCATTTCAAAACAAATCTACCAAATGTAAATCTACAATTCATAGTAAAACATGTCGGATCGGTGCTGGATATCCCATCAAAGATTTGTTCACCATGGCAAAGCCCATAATCTGTCAGAAAAAAATAAACAAATATTGTTATTCATATATAAAATTCAAATATAAACGACTGCTAAATCTACCATAAATAACTAATAAATTTACCAAACACATATCATTTTTCAAATAAGTTACCATTAAATGACTAATAAATCTACCAAACTACATCATTTTACAAATAAGTCTATCATTAGATGACTAATAAATCTACCAAACGACATCGTTTTTTAAAATAATTTTACCATCAAATAACTAATAAATCTATCAAACCACATTTCGTTTTCTAAATATATCTACCATCAAATAACTAATAATCTACCAAACTACATACCGTTTTTCAAATAAATCTACCATCACACATAATGAACTTTACAACCAAAAAAATACAAAATCGATTTCCAAATATATCTACCAAACGTACCTGAAAAAAAATTTATGCCGCCGACAACCTCCACAACACCACCATTCCATCGAAACAACGTCTATCCACTGCGGTTATGCGCGACGCGGCGAGAATGCTGCTTAAGAGTCACCGCCAACCGCCACATCTCCATAGTTTATCGTTGATATTAGATCCAAAAACCCAGATCTAGAAAAAAATCAAAGAATTCGAAAAAATGAAAAAAAAACTCACATAATAGCAGAATGAATTGTAGAAACCATGGGAAGATCTAGATCTCCGAGCTTGGAAACATTGGAGGCTTCTTGATACAAAAAATCGGTAGAACTAGTTGTGTTTTTCTCGATCTGAAACATCGAAGCTTTGAAGTTCATAAAGAATACATATTCATACAACAAAATTTAACAAAACAAAAGAAAAGATAAAGAGGAGAGCAAGAGAGGAATGAAAAGGTTAAGAAGAAGAGCAGCTCCATGGGAGAAAAAAAAACGGCGCAGGAGAAAGAGAGAGAAGAAGATGAATTAGGGTTTACTTTTTTTTTTTAGTTTTTGGTTTTGTTTTTTTTTTTTTTGCTTTTTTCGTTTAAAAAAAATGTTTTTTTCGTCAAAAAAAATTTCGATTTTTTAAAAAGTTTTTTTCGAAATTAAAGTTTTTTCGAAAAAAAAAAATTATAAAAAAAAAATCATAATGGCATTTTTGTAATAATATTCAACATCTGGATAAAATGGACTTAAACCAACTTTATAAGGTTAGTCTAGTAAGCCCTTCAATATGTTAGACTAGGTTTGTCATTTCATTAACCTTAAAGGCTAGTCTGAGGAATTTTCACTTAATTTTATGTTGTGATTTTTATAATAATGGTGAAGAAATGACTCAAGATTTTGATTACATCTAAAAATGAAGCACTAAAGAAGACTATGAATGTTAAAAATATAGAAGTGTTTCATAATATTTTTTAAAACTAGCTTTTGTTTTATTCTAATATGGTTTTGATCAACTATTGGTTATTATTTTTAACCTTTTTTGTTGATTATATGTTTTACTTTGTTTTTATATTTATGTTTGATTTCATAGTATATGTTCAATTACAAATTTAATAATCTAATTAATGTGGTTATTTTATAAACATCTTTGTATCGCCTTGTGCAGACTGTTGGGGTTGGTTTTCACCCTAGCTGAATTAACCATTTTAAAATGACTAAGTGTCAAAAGATGTCGGCGAACCCGAGCTCTATGAAGAAGCAAGCCAAGTCCATTCATAAAGCAGGATGGGTCGAGCCCTTCAATGACTATGGGCCGAGCCCTTGAAGTAGCATGGATCGAGCCGCGAGGTGATATGGACCGAGTTGTGCGAAAAGGAGAATGGGCCGAGCTGTGTAAGTAGGAGAATGGGCAGAGCCACTTCCTTTTGCGTTTGGGCCGAGCTGGTTCTTCTCGAATGGGTAGAACCTGAATCATGAAAGACGTAAACCCACAAAAATCCTAAGTGAAGTGCTATGACGGTGGCCGCATAAGGAAATATTCCGAAAATTTTTCTCGACAATGTATGCGATTCATTATGCATCTTTTTCACAACTCAAGAGAAATAAGACTTAAATACTGTTTCAGCAAAAAATCTTATTTTGATCTTATTGTTCTTGCGATAAACCCTATAAATTTTGGATCCTTTAAATTTTCCTTAACAAATTTTTTGTTGTGCGAGTTTTGACTCACACACGGAATAAACACCTAATATGTATATATTTATCAAGTGGCATACATATTTTGGCTGCATCGAATTTGCTTGTTTCTGTTAGGTGATCAGACTAATAAGTCATACAATGATATCCGTAGTATACGATGATTTTGAATCATATAAAATATATGTGGATACATGGATATCATGTTGCTTTCGTGACTTAACCTCTCAGCTGGTCTTATCCAATCATTACGTGTGAATTTTAACTTTGGTTCATGTTAATCAATATTAAAATATGTTCGAATTTTAAATTCTGATTAAGATTTCTTTTCAACACCTAATTCGATTAGTATTAGTCATTGAATCCTATTTTTCTCGAAATCCTAGAATTTAAAAGAAATCTCGGTTTTGGTTGGTGGATTATATGAAAACGGGCAACATGTCAGAAGAAAAAACCTTTTGAAGGTAATTCTACAAATTTGTACAATGAAGTTTAACTTTGACTACATGGTTGTAAAATTTACTAAAAATTATGGTGGGTACACTTCAAAATAGCATATGTGATTGGAAGAAGACAAGGAAGAACATCACCAATATCATTATCAACAAACCAAACAAGTCATCAGTAGAACTAGTAGTAGTAGCAGTACAATAACACACTTCTTTGAATGGAAACTGGGTTACATTTTCCGCATTCATTGTGTTATCAAAGATGAGGGCTATAGATTAGCCCTCTACGGCGGAAACAACATTGTTTCAAAAAGGTTTAGTTAGTTGAAACTAAAGACGCTGAAAAAAAGACCCATCCATTAGGGTCAGGGCAATCAGAGTTGCATGTAGTTAACATTAGTACCTGTGTCAATCGGAGAGTATTACATACTATATGGTCAACATGGAAGAACAAGATCATCAACTTCTTCTTTATCGTGTTCGATCTACAAATAATGAACGAAACAATTCTTGTATAATTATATGGAATCACAACACGATTCTATTTCAAACGCAAGTGCAAGACAAATGAGTCTTTAACACCAACCAAACCACATTCAAACCACAAGTCACAAGTTTTAGTTTGTTTTTAGCATCCTATTGGTGTTTTCCTTTTGCTCTATTTCTCTTTTCTACGCACAAAACATTATAAAACGAGTAAACGACATACCTCCAATCTTAAGGTCAATTTATATCACGGCAAGACCAGTTTTGAGATAATCCAAACAAGAGAAAGGCAGCCGCAGGATTCTGTCCACTTCTAAGGAAGTCTTCATGAGACTAGTCATGATTTTGTCTCTCTGTCTTTCATCTAACCTCATCCCTCTGCTCACCACCAAAGATACGTTACACAGCCATGGCACTTCACAAGCAAACACCAACCAATTCCTCTCATTCTCCATCAATCCCTTTTTATAAGCTCTACCGACTTTCCTCACATACTTCCCTGTCGTTACACCTTCGTTTGATCTGTCTATGTCTGAGATGTCTGCATCAGAGTGAAGGTTCACCACCAGAGTTCCATGCTCATGGTGAAGTCTTTCGCTCAGAGCTTTCATGAACACGGAATCGGAATCCCACAGACTATGAGGAAATATGTCTGCTCCATCATAAGCATCCATGAAGATCATGTCATAAGAATTGTTTTGATTCTTGAGAATGAAGTCCTTAGCTTCTGATTCGTAGAGGAAGAGTCTCTCATGGATGCCTCGCCATATCACTTGGTCGATAATGCCAGCAGTTGGTAATGCACGTTTACCGGTTACTGTCAGGACAGAGAATGCAGGGAAGCCCATTGCTCGAACCAACTCTGAGATGACTAGTGGGTCGATCTCAACTATGTCAACAACAGCACCTAGAAGACGGATTTATAAAAACTAACATAAGAACTAGAAAACAGAAGTTTCTTGAAAAGAATATAGATACACTGAATAGTTCATACCAAGAATGTGACTAACTAAAAACAACGGTAAACTTCCTCCACCGTGACCGATGCACAATATGCGCATTTGTTTCTTCCCAGTAGCTGCACTCCTCATATCATATTTAGAAACTGCAAGAGAAGTCAATCCAGCTGAAGCCATGCTTTTCAAATCTGTCACAAAGAAGAAAAAGAGTTTGGCGTAAAAACCTTTGTTGAGGCAGAGACCAACAAAAAACAACAGCGGAATCATAATGAACTTACACTCTTTTACACTAACAAAACAGGGGACTAACACATATATTAAACAAGGGGTTATACATAATAAGCAAACCCTTATATTCCTATTTCTAGTCCTCTTTTCACTTTTTGGTTCTTCATTTGAATTGCGTCAAGGAAAACAATAATGCAGAGACCCTTATTTCTAATTGGAAACAGAGAACTAGCAGAGACTGGAACATGGCAAATAGCAGTAACAACTAATAACTAAACCTATTAGACCCATTCACTCATGTAGTTTCATATCAACAAGTCATGTTCTGTATATCATTTTAAGTGGCATGTTCATGGATCTCCTACAGATTAAGCATCTAATCGCAACTAAGAGAACTGAACACAAAAAATAGCGGTAATTACTAATAACTAAACTTATTAGCCCAATTCACTCATCTATTTTCATCTCAACAAGTCATGTTCTGTGTATCATTTTCTGTGGCATTTCCACGATCTCCACAAGATTAAGCATCTAGTGGCAGTTAAGTTAAGAGATCTCCAAAGCTCGAAAACTCAAAAACCGACATAAGATATTGAAAGCATATAAAGAAAGGAAAAAAGGGTTAACAAAATCACATGGAGCAGCAAGGCAATGGGGCTGCTGCATGTAGAAAACCGAGCTCGGTTGCAATGCTCTACAAGCAGCCATGACTTTCACCGTGCTTTGTCGAGTATCGTCGTTGAATCGAAGGGATCGCCATTGATATCCAAGTATCTTAAAACTTCCATTCTTCTCTCCATCTCTTTGCATTAGCTCCATATACCTTTTCTCTAGCCAGCTCTCAGTTTCTGCCCATGAATCTCTACTCTAAATAAGATTAAAATCATTAAAAATCCGCCCAAATCAATCAAATAATGTCTTAACTTCAACAATCTACAGATCAAGAACCAAAAAAAAAATCTACAGATCAAGAACAAAAACTCGGGCTTTTCAAGGATTGGTTCCTCATTTACTCACAGGAAGAGAAGAAGGGTGTGCGACGACTGAAACGATGCCGTTTCCTTTGCCGAAGGTAACCCGTGAAACCGTGTGGCCGCCGTCGTGAGGGTCCCACCATTCCGGTGAGAAGAACCAGTCTCCTTCGTCCTTCACGCCGCCTTGCAACGCTCCTCCGCAGAATTGTCGTATACATGACTCGAAGCCGCTTAACCTTCTCAACGAGAAACGTTGAATCGAATTCATTTTGTGAATCACCCACAATCCCAAGATCACCGGAATATCAAAGTGCCCAGTAAAGGTTTGGATTTGGCGGCGTATTCCTCCTTGAAAATGTTGGTTTGATAAATGATTCAGGGTTTCAACGGTCCTATACAGAGTTAAAGCGTCGCCGGAGATTATTTCAATTTTATCTTGTTTTGATCGAAATGGAAGATTTGGAAATAACTTGATTTATATATTATTCCTTTTGTTGATTAGAAAAGTGAATTCAAATAATGATTTTAACTCAACTAAACATATAATAATCAAACTAGGATACTGGTCTATATGTGTGCACTTGAACGTTTTTTTTCTTTTAAATTAAATATAATTGGGTTGATGTTAAGTATATTGAATGTTTATAAGTTGAGATCTTGGGCTCATGTTATTATACAGATTCTTCACGCATATGCAGGCAATTAACATTTTATATAATTTGAATGTAATTTTGCTGATATTTGATTAGTATATATTGAAAGTGATTGAGTTGGTTACTGACGTAGAAAGTAGTATAATAAAATCGGAGGAGATGTATACTATTTTTTATTGACGGTTGTGATTTTTAGTGTTTGTAGAAAGCCATAAGCATTTTGAAAGTGATTGGGTTGGTTATTGATATAGAAAACCACAAACATTTTGTTTGCAAACGGTTGTGGTTTTGGCGTTTAACAACATTCACATATACTCTTTTGTATTTTTTTTACTGCTTCGTACTGCTTAAAATTAATGCAAATTAAAAAAAATTCATTATAAAAATTATACTTTTTAAAAGGATATTTTCAAAATCGTTTAAAATCTCATTTGTTTCTTACTTAATATCTTAAACTCAAGTATATATTCAAACTCAATTTTATTTAAATCAACTAATATTTAGAACTAACTATAATTTTTTCATCAGCGTTTGTGTTTATTTATAGAGTAGAAGATTATAGTGAGCACCTTCTTGACTTGTAAACTTCTTGTATTTCTCGTTTACCATTTAATAATAAAAGCAGATGATAAAAAAAAAAGAGTAGAAGATTATAGTTAATTAAGAATATTCAATGAATTCTTTTTTTAAAGCTTCAGCATCTAGAACAATATTAGATCATAATAAACATAATTTCTGTTCAGAACTTTGCGTTCCGCAAGACTGCAACATCAAAAAACAAAAACATGAAATTAGATCATAATAAAATGATACTTATATTATAAGAAGCTATGTATTTCTAGAATAATTTTTTTTATAAGCTTACTAAATTTGATTAAACATTTAAAAATCTATGATAATATAAATATATTTTATTCACATGATTGATGGAAATTCAATTCTATCAGAAATCACACTTTACCTGTGTACCATATATGTAGTAAACTATGTTGCATAATCAATTTTTTTAATAAAGTTTAAACTAATAGTTTAGAGTTTTACCCATGATGAATATTCATTAAAACTGTTCAAAATCTCAACTCAAGTATCGTCATATGTTTCTTTCTTATACTTGGTTTTCTATTTAAACTCCATCTTATTTGTAGTCTCATATGTAAAAAATAATTTCCTAGTAACCTCATATTTATAAGTTAAGGTATATCACAAACTTTTGAAAAACATTCCTTAAAAATAGAGGATGTAATACATTAAAAAAAAATTCAAGAAATGTAAGCTTGACATGTTTAATTTAGCTAATTTAATTCAAATTTGTAACTCACAGAAAATCGTGAATTTAAGTTGGTCAAAAATACTTTAAGATTTTATCATATAATTAAAGTTATAAGTTTAACATTGTCTTCATCATTTTTTTTCTTTTTTATCGACTTTTTTTTGGTCAATTGTCTTCATCAATTCTTGACAACTAAATTTAAGATATCAACAATGATTTTTCCTACTTTTGTTATCAATGATTTTTTTTTTTACTTTTGTTATGCAACGTTAGATGGAACCATCTCACTACAAGAAAACAATCGTTTTCCAACGGTCCATTACGACGATTTACAAATCGTCGCAAACTTACAACGATTGTACGACGATTTTACGTCAAACCAAAAAAACGTCGTAAAATCGTCGTACAAAAAAATCGTCGTAACTTCGACGTACAATTTACGACGAATTACGACGATTATAATAACGAGAGATTTGATATTAATTGCAAAATCGTCGTAAATTAGATGTAACATTACGACGAATATACGACGACTTGTATTCGATGTACACTTACGACGATTTTACGTCGATAAAGAAGTTAGGTGAAGAACATTTAAAACATGTTTACCTAACTAATGTCGATGAAATATTTTATCGCATAATCGACGTAAAATCGTCGTAATATTATTGTTGAATGTAAAGTCGATGTAAAAAATCGTCGTAAAAGCGTCGTAAAGTCCGAAATTTTGTTATAAATAGATCTTCATTCCTTCTTTCATTCACAACACATCATCATTCAAACATAAGAGCATCAGCATCCTGGATACCCATTGTAGGTCTCTTAAACCTTAGTATAGTGTTGTAAATCCTGATATATTGGGTTGTCTATTGCTGGAAACCCGAATTAGTAGTTATTTCTTTGAAAAAAAAAAGTAATAATATTAAAAGGTTTACTCCATTCACGTGGCTAGACGTGACACAAGAGACTGGTTCTTTTATTGTCTAATCAATAAAAAGAGATAGTATTTTGAGTTTATTTCAAGATGTCTATATACGAGCTAAGAAGCAGGATGTATATGCGTAAAGATTCAGATGGGGCGTTGACAGAAGAGTTCAAGAACGGGTTAGAAATATTTATGTATCAGGCTACAAATATGGAGAGAACGAAAGATAGCGGGAAGATGTTTTGTCTTTGTTTGAAATGCAAGAATACGAGGTATATACTAACCAAAACCGTGTGGACGCATTTATTAAATAGAGGGTTTATGCCGTAATATTTTGTCTGGTATCTACATGGAGAAGGATATGGCAGTAATACTCATGGGAATGCTGGTAGTAGTAGTAATTATCAAAGTCATGTTGATTTTGATGAATCGAATTATGGTCATCAGCCTTATCAGTATCAATCTGATCAAAGTTTAGATCATGATAGGATGCATGAGATGGTAACTGATGCATTTCATGAAACGCATACTGGTAATGCTGTTGAGGAACCTAATGTAGATGCCAAACGATTTTATGATTTGTTAGACAATGCTAATCAGCCAATCTACGAAGGATGTAGAGAAGGCCTGTTTAAATTATCGTTGGCAGCTAGGATGATCAATTAAAATAGATCATAACCTGGCTGAGGTTTGCATGGATGATTGGGCTGATCTTCTGAAAGAGTATCTACCGGAGGATAACTTGGCAGCGGCAACATACTATGAAATACAGAAGTTGATTTTTAATCTTGGTCTACCTTCTGAGATGATAGATGTATGTGTTGACAATTGTATGATTTTTTGGAAAGATGATGATCAGCTGGAGGAATGTCGATTTTTGCCAAAAACCAAGATACATGCCGCAAACTGGTGGGCAGAAAAGGATACCGTACCAACGTATGTGGTATCTCCCTATAACTGATAGGTTAAAACGGCTTTATTAATCTGAAAAGACAGCTGCATCAATGAGATGGCATGCCGAACATACACAAGTAGATGGAGAAGTTGTTCATCCATCAGATGCAAAGGCATGAAAACACTTCAATATGGTATACCCAGATTTTCCTAAGTTCAAATGGAATGTCTATCTTGGTCTGTGCTTTGATGGTTTTAGTCCATTTGGTATGTCTGGTAGACAATATTCATTATGGCCAATAAACCTAACTCCTTATAACCTTCCTCCAGATTTGTGCATGCAAAAGGAATTTCTTTTCCTAAGTATTTTGGTTCCAGGTCCCAATCATCCGAAGCGAGCTCTCGATGTATTTCTACAGCCACTCATACATGAGTTGAATCAGTTATGGTATACCGGCGTTTGCACATATGACTGTTCTACGAGCAAAAATTTTACTATGCGGGATGTGCTTATGTGGACAATAAGCGATTTCCCCGCTTATGGTATGCTATCAGGATGGACTACACATGGGAGGTTATCTTGTCCTTATTGTCTTCATCGAACTGATGCGTTTCAGCTAAAACATGGTAGAAAAACTTGTTGGTTTGATTGTCACTGGAGGTTTTTACCGGATAACCATCCATATCGGAGGAACAAGAGGTTATTTATGAAGAACAAAAGTGTACATGTCCCTCCACCCGTAAATTTAACAGGAGCTGATATACATGCACAAATCGAGCATTGGGGGGCAGAGGAAACATTAACGCGTAGGGGAAACTGACACACTCCTGCAAATATGCCTGAAGGTTATGGAGTTCATCATAATTGGCACAAGAAAAGTATCTTTTGGCAACTACCCTATTGGAAAGATCATCTGCTCAGACACAATCTAGATGTCATGCACATTGAAAAAAACTTTTTTGATAACATCATGCATACAGTTATGAACGTAACGGGAAGAACAAAAGACAATGGTAAGTCAAGATTGGACTTGCCTGATTTATGCAATAGAAGTGAGTTGCATATACTGAGAAACGGGAAAGCACCAGTTCCTGTATTACAGTTGAGTGCAGATCAAAAGTCAGCATTGTTCAGATGGGTTTCTTCTGACGTTAAATTTCCTGATGGGTATGTTTCTAATCTTTCTAAATCTGTTGAGAAGGGGGTAAAGTTTGCAGGGATGAAAAGCCATGACTGCCACATGTTTATGCAACGATTATTTCCATTTGCATTTGCTGAACTCTTGCCAAAAAATTTCCATGAAGCTGTTGGAGGCATTGGTGCTTTTTTTGGGATCTTAGTACACAAACATTATCAGTTGATGTAATATCACAACTGGCATAGAATATTCCAATCTTGTTGTGCAATTTGGAAAAGATCTTCCCACCATCATTTTTTGATGTTATGGAACATCTTCTTGTTCATCTCCCTCATGAAGCAGAGCTCGGTGGACCAGTTCAGTACAGGTGGATGTATCCGTTCGAGC